CCCACGAAGTTCGATTTCCAGCCGTCGAACTAGCGGGTAAGTGTAGCCAAGGCCTTAGTGTTCAAAATGATTTAACTGCTAGCATAGATGTGACAAATCCTTTTTGAACATAGGAATTGCTACACCAGACCATCAGTACATCTGCTCCAATATCCTGTCTCCAACAGCAACCTGCACAAGGTGCCTCAGAAGAAAGTACAAGAATCCCACAGCTGACAATTAGGATATAACCTATTCATAAGTGATATTTTTTCTAACCCCATCCAATTAGTGATTGTCTTATGCCCTGAATCATGAGGGTTTACATGCCTTATATATATGTTTTTTATTATAAATAATGCAACTGTGGATGTTCACATAAATGTCTAAAAATTATCTGACAAAAATGTTGCAAATTAATTTACCAGTTTTTTGACAAGCTCTAATATGTACTTCAAATTATTCCTTCCAACATCCATTATTTTACATTTGCCAACAATGAGCTTCATCTGCCATTGTGCTTTCCATTCACCTAACTTTGCTAGGTCTTCTGGAGCGCCTGATGGTTTTTCTCCTGTCTTGGCTATCCTACAGTATTTTGTATTATCGGCCAAATTTTCACTGTTCATCCATCTTTTGCCAGTGATTAATGAATATATTAAACATTAACTATCCTAGTGTAATCCAACATGACCTTGACTACTACACTTTATTTTTTGTCTCTTAATCAGTTTCTGATCCATGACTATACTTTACCTCTTACTCCATAAATATTTAATTTCCATAACAGCCTATTATGAGAGACTTTTGTCAAAAGTTTTTTGAGAGTCCAAATAAATTATATGTGGTGATTCTTGCTTATGCACTATTTTTGTCACCTACTCCAAGAATTCTACTAGATTAGAGAGGTACAACTATCCTTTATGGTAACTGGGCTGATTTGTTTCTATAATTCAGGGGTCGGCAACCTTTCAGAAGTGGTGTGCTGAGTCTTCATTTATTCACTCTAATTTAAGGTTTCGCGTGCCAGTAATACATTTTAATGTTTTTTAAAAAAACAGGAGTACTTGTGGCACCTTAGAGACTAACCAATTTATTAGAGCATAAGCTTTCATGGACTACAGCCCACTTCTTCGGATGCATATAGAGTGGAACATATATT